GAGGTCATTAAACAGGGGCTGGATGGCCATCAGTTGGCGATGCTTTGATTGGGAGTTCCTGCATGGTAAGGGGTTGGATTGGATGGCCCTTGTGGTCTCTTCCAACTCTATGATTCTATGATTCTATGACTGCACTTTCCTCACTCCTGCCATACATGAATACAAGTTCTACAGGGTTTTATTCTTTTAAAAATGTTTTCAGGTAGATTTAGAATACATTTTATTGCACATCACTCTGGGAGCCCAGTTGGGCAGAATTTACAGTACAGCTTGAGTCTCACGTATCTGAAATTTCAAAATCCAAAATTATCCACATGGGTGGATGAGTTAGTCAAACCTTTGCTTTCTGATGATTTAATAAACACAAATTTTCTTTCATGCACAAAATAATTTAAAATATTGTGTATAAAATTACCTTTAAACTATGTTTATAAGTTCTATATGAACCATAAATGAATTTCCTATTTAGGCTTGGGCCCCATCTCCAAAATTTCTCATTATGTATATGCAAATATTCCAAAATCCAAAAAACTCCAAAATCCTAAACACTTCTGATCCCAAGCATGTTGGATAAGGACACTTAACCTGTAATAAATACTTAAAAAAAAAAACAGTCTCTAGATCAAAATCTGAAACTATCATATTTTAATATTTCGATTCCATATTGATTATTGGTGAAGCAAAGAGAACTGAAGGGATGAAGGGAAATACAGGTTCTTAAAGTAGCTTTCTGTCTGTGCAGGCTTTGAATGTCATCTGGTATTTTTTACATACATACATACATGTACCTAAACATATACATATGTGTAAAGCACTTTTAGCACTTATAAAGATATATATACTGTTTTACTGTTGTCTTTTGTTTTTGTGGATTACTCCATACCTGTATGGGCATCTCTCCTGCCTACAACAACTCTCACATGAAAAGGAAAGGCAATAGATAAAGGAAAGGCAAGAGTCCTGAAAACCTGGCGAGTGCAGTTTTAAAAACAGTCGCTCATTAAGCCCAGTTTAATATCAATCTAATTCATTGCTCATTATGGAGTGACAGAGAAAACAGATTTGAGAGAATTGCTAATGATCTCAGAAAAACTATGAAATGCATTTTGTTGTTCGGCATTTTTTAAGACAGGAGGGAAGTACATATATAAAATTTAAAAAAAAGCCAATCAGCAGTTGCCAGTAACATGATTTCAAATCCAATTGCCAGTAAACGATTCCACTTAAGAAGAGTTTTGCACTTCTCTCTCATGCCTTAGTTAATTAGATTCCATCACTGAGTTTGTTCTCTCTCAAAGGAGCTCCCTTTAGAGGAAAAATATCCTGCCTACCCACAACATCTGTTTCATATACTTTTGGTAGGAAGTCTATTCTATTAGGAGACCAGACTGCATTTTTCATATACACACTCTTATTTATGCCCTTCACTTCCAATTAGCCCGAGAAGTCTTCAAAATTAGACTTCACAATCCAAACCTGAGGTCTGATCCTTTCTACAAATATTCTCCCATATTCAAAATATTCAATATTGTTGTTGCTGACTTCCCTTGAGTCACCTTCGAACCATGGTGACCCTCTGGATGAGATATCTCCAGGTCTCCTCATCCTCAACAGTTCTGCTCAGTTCCCGCAATTTCAGGCCTGTGGCTTCCCTGACTGAGTCTAACCGATCTTTCTTTCTTTCTGCTAGCCTCTACCTTTTATAGCATCATTGTCTTTTCTGATGATTCATGCCTTCTCATGATGTGGCCAAAGAATGAGTGCCTCAGTTTCCAGGGAGAGTTCAGTTTTAATCTCTTCTAGAACTCTTGGTGCAATGGTCCATGGTACAATTCTGGGAACTGTAGTTTATTTGGCACCAGAGCTCTCTGACAGAGAAGGCTAAATGTCTCATAAAACTACAATTCCTAGAACTCCATACCACTGATCCATGGCTGTTAAAGTGGGGGTATAAATGGCATTACTTCTGTAGTGCAGGTGCAGCCTAACTTACAATATTGTAATAGCATTAAATAGATTTTTTTGTACTTGTATTAAAACTATCCAATTATCTAATTAAAAGCACATTAGTAAAAAAAAAATATACAGTATGTTTCCCCCTTCCCCTCTGATCAAAATTAGCTTTTTTAAAATTTTAATCTTAGTACTGTTTAATTCTCTTTTTAAGGGGAGGGGGATATTGTATATATTTTGTATTATTTTAAATTGTTATACGCCGCTTTGATTGTTTTTACAAAAAGTGGGATATAAATAAAAGTTTTATTATTTATTTATTTATTTTAAACCCACCCCCCTCCTTAGCAGCCAGCCATTGATTGAACAAAAATGGTCTTTGCTTCTTGGCAGATGGACAGCATGCAGAGAGGCAGTCTACTTTCCCTTGGAAGGGAAATTTTTATAGGGTTTCTGACTATGGCTGAATGCACAAGACATGTTACAGGCACCATTGTGCCATTTTGTTGGTGGGGGAAGGATCCCACTGTCCCAGATATGTACATACAGCCCAGCAATGTATTACGGAATCATACCTTAACTGGCTGTTTCTACAATGCATATTTAATGCAGTTTGACACCACTTTAACTGCCATGGCTCCATGCTATAGAATCCTGGGATATATTGTTTTGCTGTGGCACCACAGCTCTCTGATAGAGAAGGCTAAATATCTCACAAAACTACAAATCCTGGAATTCCATAGTACAGAGCCAGTTAAAGCAGTGTCAGACTGCATTATTTCTGCAGTGCTGATGCAGCCTCTGTCTTTTTGAACACTTTATTGCAAACTCTAGTTAACAGAACTTCAGTCCACACAGCTGTTTTAAAATAAGGTGAGCATCTTGCCCCATTCCCCCCAATGGGTTCCCTTTATAAGACAGTGAGGCTGCTAGGATATAATCCGGAGCTGGCAGGTCCAAGCAGGCAAAAGCAGCCGGTCACCTCCAGTTCTAATTTCCTTTGAAAATGACAGAGGTTTGGCAGGGATGGACTCTGCCACAGGGTTTCCTTTTTGAAAGAATTTATTATAACAGACAATCTTCTGATTTGCTAACAAAGTTGCATGCTTGATTTTCCCTCAATGATGCTATGTGTGGCTTGGTGGTTTTTGGTGGGTCCCCCACCCCTTGTTTCTTTCCATTTAGCAGTCTACCTATACATGGCCTTTGCAGATCTAACAAGATGTTGGGGATTATTTTTTTAAGGTGGGGGGGATAATAGAGTAAATTTCTGTAAACCAAAGCAGAATGGGAGGTGGCATTTTTAAAGTGAGGCTAGGGCTCCCTGTTTAATAGGAATAGCAATAGGACAACAAGCAATAGGCTTCCTTCACACTAAATTGTAGCTTTCGGAGAAATATTCTCCAGAAACAGTACTGTGCTTGCAAGGCCATTAAACAGAAGAACTCTGACTACAATGCTGAATATAATTTCCTTACCACCCACCGCTACCTGATCCTCTTGTTCAGCTCTTGAAATAAAAACACTTATTAGCAGAAGTCAGTGTTCCTGTTTTATGTTTAACATAGGTTGACTGTTTATTTCCCTCATAAGTAGGACAACTGAACAGAATCTGAAACCTCAGTTGCTTTTTATTTATAGATTTATTAAGTCATTATTTTTTTTATCCCATCCTCTTTGTAAGGATATAAAGGTAATCACACACACCCTTTGTGTCCTCCTGAGAACTCTATGTGATACATTAATCTGAGAAGGAATGACCACGCCAAATTCAACACAATGAGTATGATATGAACACAGGTTTTTCCATTCTCACTATACCACACAAGAGCTCAGAAGGAGGATACGTACAGAAAGGTTAACTATCTTGGCCAAATTCCAAGTAGTGGTAGGCAGATAACACATTCATTCGTGGATGAACTTTCTTCATCACCAATCCTATTTCTGTTCAACACAGTTTGATCTATACTAGCCCTGTGATCAGGTCATACACACAATGGTTTCTTGAAAGTTAAATATAAACATTTACATGTTTTGATTTGCTCCCAGAATAAGGGAGTAGTAGAAACAGAGATGTAGAAACAGAGACCTCACAATTGCAGTGGAATTTTTTTTTATTTTTGTACCAAGCCTTATGTTACAACAGGGCATTTTCATTTCCTCTCTACCTAGAGGTTCATATTGTAGCATACTGCTTACCTGAACTTGCAGAAAATTACTTTGAATCAAAAAGCACAGAACAGTATGGCATACATCATTGTGGAATAAGTCACATATTTTCATGCAGGCAGGAAAACATGCAAAGTTACAAGAAATAAGGTTATTTCCAAAGTCAAGCATGGGTCTAATTGACAAGTGAAAGGTAACATAATCAGCCTTCACTCCAAAAAAAGCAGAATGTAGATTGCACATTTTCCTGGAGACAAATAAAGGCCACAATATTGTTTCTGGTGTGGTTATGAATTCATGCAGGTTAGATGTTTGCTTTTGTACATCAGCAAAGGCTAAAGGGTTTGTGAACCAAAAGGACAGTTGTAAAGATATATCAAATAATGCTAATAATGTTCAGCATGTACCAAATAATTAATCTGTATGCAGTTTCTTAGTGCATATAAATAGACCTTATAGTAAGATCTACCTATAGCCAAAGGGCACGGGAAGATCATCTATTTAGAGCTGAAGAGGGGGAGGATGAAGCAGCAACTTAAGAGTTTGCCTAGAAAATGGGCATATTGATTCATTCACAGATGGCACACTGGTAAAGGTACCTTTACCTTAAATTGTGTGTTTGTTTGTTTGTTTAATATGCCTGATAGCTTAAAAAGGCCAGTGTTCTTTTTAAAAAATAATGGTAGTGAGAAAACACCAATATCTTCAAAAGTGATTAACTGTTGTTATTGCATATCATCAAGTCATTTCTGACTTATGAAAACCCTAGAACATATTATGGGGTTTTCTTAGCAAGGTTTGTTTAGAGCAGGGTTCCCTCTGCCTTCTTCTCAGGCTAAGAGAGTGTGACTTGCCGAAGGTCACCCAGTGGGTTTCCATGGCTGAGTAGGGATTTGAACCCTGATATCCAGGGTCCTAGTCTAGCATCCAAACCACTACATCACAGTGGCTCATATAAATGCTTAAATCAAGAGCCAGCATGGTGTAATGGTCTGAGTGTTGGAAAAGGACTCTGGAAGATCAGTGTTTGAATCCCATGCTAAGCCATGGGAACCCACTGAACGACTTGGGCAAGTCATTTTCTCTCAGGCAGGTAATTAACCCTTTTGAAAAAATCTTGCCAAGTAAACCCCATGACAGGGTCACTTTCAGGTCACCATAAGTGAAAAATGACTTGAAGGTACACAACAACATATGTTTCACACTCTCCTTAAAATTTTCTTTAAAACATTAGATTATATTTTAAAACAAAGTTTAAATTTGGAGACAACTGCCCAAAACATGCATGGCAACACAAGGTGTTATGATTACACACCTTCATTCATTGTGAGCAAGCCTGTAGGACATTAGAGTAAAAGAACCTAAGGAACACAATCATGCAGTTTTTGTTAGTCTTAATAAAATGTACAAGCTTAAAAATTCTCCAGAACCTTTGATCAGGTTGGGTGACCCAAAAATTTGGGGATTGAAGAAGGAAAGGAAAGTCCAAAAAGTGGACCACGTGTTGTTGCATGAGGTGTGCAGTTCAGTCCCAAAGTGGAGATAACAGACTGCATGAGTCTCTAATAAGTGTGCAGGTATCAAATTATACATATATACATGTAGATATTCGGATAAATATATATTCAGATGAAATACATATTTGGATGAAAAAATCATGGTGATTTTTTTTTCTGATAACACAAATGTAGTTATAAGGCTGGAGATGTGACTATTGCCAAAGAGATGTTCATTGACTACATAGAGAGTTTTGATATTTATGTTGGCAGTGGTCTAGTGAGGAAAGATGCAAGTATTTTAGAATGCATTATTTACTTTTAACATGGAGAACTGGCCTTTAAACTTTTGCCAGCAATATAATTTCTTCAAAAATCTGCTTTCACATGGACTGTTAATGTACAAATTCATACCAGATGAATTACCTTGACATTTGATCTCATGGACATTAAAACTTAAAGATCCACGTACTCACTTTTTCCAATTCCATTCCCTTCTAGGTGAGCATTAAACACAATGCACAACCACTTCTACAAATCTTCTGAAGTTTTTTTTCCCCTCAGAGTAATCCTACCATTATCCCACACCACTGATATTCCATGGTACTTCCCCTGGAAGAAAACTGTGAATACCAACCATGGATTCAAAGAGCAGTGATTCTGTCAGCAGCATTAAGTGGGCACCTCTGGCCAGTCTTATTAATTGTAGCAACAAGGAAGCTTCCAATTAAGAAGGCAGTGGGTAGGATAGTATTGCAATTAATGAGAGGTATGAATCCTCACATCAGTTCATGGATGACCCTTGTTTTATTCAAGATGGGTACTGTCTTTAAACAAAATCCATCTCCCCTTTCCAGGTTTCCAGCAGGTAGAATTCCCAAGTGAAATAGCTTTTACATTTGTTTCTTAACCCACATGCAGTTTGCTTTCATGAAAAGCTCAGAACATCACAAGAGGATGGAAGGTGGGGAAGCACACTTTGAGATTAATTATCTATCTTTCCCCTTCAGACTAGGTCAACATTACACTTTGCTTGAACTGGAGCCAAAGAAAATGAATCTTGGCAGAGGAAGTGCAGAAGAGCATTGATTCTCTAGCATTACCACAGCCGCTAGTGGCCTGCAGAGGAATTTAATGAATTAATGAGGCACAGAACTGTGTCTTTTAATGCAGCCAAGTAGACTGCATTTGGGTACATGCAAACTTTGCATAGCAGGCTGTTTTGATTGCTATGCCCATGAACTGGTTCATGCAGGAACAAAAAGCAAGAACAGAGAAACCTAGATACCACAGCCTACCCAGATCAAATGAATTACTTAAGATCTCATCTTCAAGCCCTTCTATGTGTGCAAGCCCTGTTGTGAGGAATTTTGGAAACAGGGACGACTTCTGTTAAAAATAAAGATCAAACATGGAATCACAGAGAGGAGCTTTCTGGAACAATTTGAGCTTCTTTGTCAAGCAGGCTTGCTGTCAACATAAATCTCACCCTCTCTAATAATTCTGATGTTACAGCAGCAGTATCACCCTGTGAAACATGCACCTTATCAGCAAGGACACAGAGGGATACTCAACAATTTTAATAGCAATGGACCCACCATGGGGAATGCTGCTGCATTTCAGCAGGAGGGAACATGAATGGAAGACTAT